GAAAAAAAAACTACAGAAAAAAGTCCTCAAGTCCTCAAAAATTTTATAATTTTATAGGAAAATAGGTCAAATTCTTAGCATAAGCCAATCTCAGCATAAGCCAATCTCAGCATAAGCTGCCACAATTGTTATACTTTAAACTATATTAAATGTTTCATGTAATGCAATTTTTTCAACCATCTATTTTTTTTAGTTTATTATTTAATAAATATATAAATACAACTAATTTGGCCAAAAATGTTATTATAATTTCTTATTTCTAAAATACAAAATTATCCTTTCTTTCCACTACTTTTGTCTTTACTTTTCAATTTAGTAATTTGAATATACTTTTCAGGAAATCCTTTAGAATTAACTAGATATTCTTTAACTTGTTTAGTTTGAGGACCTTGGACCATTAACTCAGACAGCGGTTTCTTAGGTGATGAATGTGGAGATGGAAGAACTGTAAATAATACATATGTGGATTATGTATATGGCAAAATAGTAATAACTGATAATTTATGTGATTAAAAACTATAAGCGAAAAATTACCAGTAACACTGCTTGCACATAACTTTTTAAGAGGCTCTATCAAATCTTTGGGATCAATTTCGTACTCTTCTAAACCTTTGATAAGGGTGACAATCTTATTGCCCATTCGACGTGCCTCAGAAATTTGTATATGCTTAGGTTGTCCTTTTCTGCAGATATAAATTTAGGTGTCAACCAAATTGCTTGAGATAACATTTATGCATTATACACATATAAAAAGTGGCTACAACTTTAGTCGACGTTCATCTCCCGGCAGAGTCACAGAATGATATTCATCCATACAGCTTTGAACATGATGAACTAAATCATTTCGTGTCAATTTGTCAGGAATAGGTTCTCCCTGCTTGTTTGCAAAAATTTTACGAAGCAGTTCATCAGGAATTATAAATCTATCAATGTAGGAATATTATTAGTCAATGTCACCAAGATGAATACAATAAAGTAATGAACGTGCACAACTTTCTGTTATTCTTGTCAGCCAAATCATGCGATTTAATGTAATCAAGGACTATTTGGTATATCTCCTTATATTCATAAGCTTCGCCTTTACTTTTAAATGAACGATTAAAATCATTAATTTGGAGTACGAATATATCGTTGAATAACTATTTTGTTGGATAAATGTTCTGATATTGAACCTTTTCCCTTGGATTTGGAAGAGTTCACCAACAGCACCTTTGGACATAGAGACCTCAATAATTTTAATTTGGTCCACACTATTAGAATCTGAAGATATTTCTTCATTCTGGGTTTGCGATTTCGCAATAGAAATAGATGCTTTCTCTATTGTTTTATGCGTTTTAAACAATTTAAGTCTATAAAAATTATCATAATTAGTAGTGAGGAAAAAAATATATATATATAATATACATTGTGATGACTATTTATATTACTCTTTGTGATCCCACTTAACTCCAACCAAGAGAGTATCACCGCGCTGTTCCTTGAGTTTGATAACTCCTTTTTTCTCCATCGCCTTTAGAAATTTGGTGATCTATAAAATAGAACTGTTTAGTTTTCTATGTAAATCGTATGTATGGCAAATGAACAAAATGAAGTGTGATTACCTTTTTATAGCTAGATTTTTTTACGTCCACATCATTATCTGTTCCAACAGGACGTGAGGGAAGAATATACGCAGAGTAAAGTTGCGAACTTGTGATAGGAAAAGTTCCAGATGGTGTCAATTTTTCCAATAGAGCCTGATAAAATGATGCCTGCAAAAGATTATCGACTTCTGTTTATATTTTTAGATTAAAGTCGATTATAAATTGATTTATGTGAAAGATATATTATGATAAATTAAATTACCTGCAGTGGTGTATTTTGCAGATGATTTATCAACATCACTGTTTTTAGATTCTGATTCCTCTTCATATGAGCCTTCAATCACCTGTTCCTCATCATTTGTTGTCTCTGCATGCAGATCAGCGATTTCACCACTCTCTTCAATTGTCTCATCTGTAGTTTGTATTTCATTGAAAGCCTGCTCTTCCGATTCTTGACCCTGGGAAATAGAATCGGTTTTAACTTCCTCATCTTCGGGAGGTTGACTCTTGTCTCCCATACTCCACAAATGATCTCGGTAAATATGAATGATTTGTACGGCGATGCCCTTTTTTACTGATCCACGTTCAAGTGTGTTAGTAGGTACACACATGAAACCTACAGCAAGTGGATAACTGAATAAATTTAAAAATTAGAATTAATATCTGATCAATATTAAACAAAAATACATTTCAAAAAATAACATACGTAGATCCTCTAATAATAATAGACACGATTTCTCCTTCTCCAACATCCGGTAATCCTTCGGGAGGAAACGCAATGCCGGGAATCATTAAATTTGCGCCACCTCTTAACTTTGAGATTACAGGAGTAAACGTGGGAATCTTTGGCAAAAGATTAGGAAAACGCCATAATATGTAAACTTTTTAAAGGTTAATTTAAAAAATTATTTACACGCTTTTAATGCATTAAAAAAGAATTGGATAAATAATTACCACTAGGTATCAGGATATCTTTCTTGTCTTTGTCGAACCTAAACCATATGGGGTTTTTTTCCTCGATATATATCATTCCATTGAAATCATTATAAGTGGTTATATTAGCCCTATGAATGCGATCAGGAAGGATATAAACATTTTGTTCGCTTTGCTTTGTTTCATAACTTGAAAGCTCTGGGAAACGTTTTGTCAGCTCCTCGCGTAATTTGCGACGGTCGGAATTGCTCAAAAGCCAAGATTTGACATTTGTGGCAGGTTTCTTGAACATCTTTTGTAGAAGGATATTTAATATCTAAACGTTGCGAGACACATTATATGATTGTCCGTTACACGGATCAACAGGTCAAATTATTACCGTTACAGTTACGCGTTATTGCAGATTGTACTCTTTTTAAAATTAAGATTTGATCCAAATTGTTAGCTACACCAATTCTTCTACTACTATATACATGCAACGAAAAAAAAAACCCCTATTACACAATAATTTAAATTATCAAATGTGGGCTATGACTCGTTATGACCCATAGGCTAATTATAGGCTATGACCTTTAATGACATATTATGACATAAAATTTACTATATATATACGTATATATTTGATAGGAATCCATTTAGGTACTTTACATTCACCTTTACTATAGTAGAAAGCTTATCATGCACCAATAATTTTATTTTGACAAATTTCACAAATTTCAAGTTTTTCATATTTAATCGATCCCAGTGAAATCATTTTAGAGGGATCCCGAATCCAAATTCATCTACATCTATTATATAGATACTTTTCTAGAATATTCTACATGAATTTTTGCAAAATCTATGTAGAACAGTAAATAGATTATCTTCAAACAAAAATATAGCAATGAATAGCTAGAGGTACACCTTTCGCGAGATAAACCTGGCAAATCTCGAGTCATATGATGAGAATTCAGTTTAGATCATATTAATGATCATATTAATCGATTTATCTTGAAATTTCATTGGTTGCATATAACAAGTGTTCTATGTGAAAACGCACATCGAAGAATAAAATTTTTTTGAAATTTTATCGACTGTTTACTATACAAATTTATGACTTGCAAATAGGAAGTCATAAATGTGTATAGCAAACTATCGATGAAATTTCAAAAAAATTTTATTCTTCAATGTCACTTGCTTCTGGCAAATTTAAACCAGATTCGTTGACGATTTATCACATTATCGATTGTATTTTCATATATGGTATTACTATTCAATCAAATGGGTCTTCCACCATGCTAGATCTACGCAAGTCGCGTGAAATCGCAGTCGCGCGAAATCGCAAGTGTGATAGTTTCATCATCTCGTGCTAGGCACATTCCTAGTTATTTGATAGCTTCTATTTTGATATCAAAAACCATGATTAATTAAAAAATAACTTCAAAGTTTCATAAAAGTATCCATAACTTTTTCATTTTGCAATAGATAAGATTATGTTTTAGATTTTGACAATTAATCTTACGTATTTTAAGAATCAACTTTGAAAATTTATCACTTCTTTATATTAATCACCCACAAAAATAACATGAAACGTTCTTTATAAAATTGATTATGAATCATACGCTTGAATTTATGTTTCGAGCTTCTTATAAAAGTTATTATAAGATTCAATCACGGATACTGTATTATTTCAATGATATAATTGATAAATTCAAACCATCAACGAATACTTCAAATCACTATGTGAACAACATTCATGCATTGATGCTTTATACACTCTTTGATCGTATTCATAATTTATTTATATTAGTCGATATTAATCAAATATATTAATATCAAACCTATATTTTCATAAATCTTGTAGAATGGACTCAAATGATGCATACACGTTCATAAATATATATATATAATATTTACTTTTCTCGTTGTATTTTCTTTGTGCAAGAAAAAAAAAGATGTACGGTTATTCTAAAATACTTTTAAACCTTACTTTATTTCTAATTTTCTCAACCTTAATCGCATCACATGTCGCAAACCCCTATGATCGTCGCGAACCAGTCAAAGAACGTAGTGACAACTTTTCTAATCATATCCATTCTTCTCGTGGACAAACCTACTCACACGACAAGAAACGTTCTCTAAATTCATTTCCAACAAACTCCAAGAAACGTTTTCCAAATTCATATTCTATCACCAAAAAACGTTCTCGCGAACCGATGGACCCTTCTAGAAGGGATGTCACTAAATTCAAAAAACGTAGATTCTTGGGCGGCAGTCCTCCACAATTAAATCCGTGTGGTGTTAATTCTTACGTTAAATCAGTCTTACATAACGCACTTTGGGAACCACCACCTTGTGAAGCACCTTGTGAAGCACCTTGTGAAGTTCCTTGTAGATTTCCCTGTGAAATTCCTTGTGAAGTTCCTTGTAGATTTCCCTGTGAAGCCCCTTGTAAATTTCCCTGTGAAGCTCCTTGTGAAGCCCCTTGTAAATTTCCCTGTGAAGCTCCTTGTGAAGTTCCTTGTAGATTTCCCTGTGAAGCTCCTTGTGAAGTTCCTTGTGAAGTTCCTTGTAGATTTCCCTGTGAAGCTCCTTGTGAAGCTATTCCGGTGAACTGTTGTTAATTCATGATTGCAGTTTTACGTATATAAACCGCGGATTTTGAATGGTGATATTCAGATGCAATCTCTATGATTAATCAGATGCGCTCTTTAATTATTCTCTAGAATTTTTTTAAAATATAATAATATTTCACGTGTAGTGTGGTGTTGAAGGATAAGTAATGAAAATTATACAATTATTTCTTTATCCAAATTATATCAAATAAATTGTTTACACTTGGATATAGCATTTACATAAATGACTTAGAAATCTTCATACGATATATTATTATGTTTGTCAAAGTAAAATGATGTCCCAATTTTTTAGTGCAAAGAAACTTTCAAGAATTTCAGGACATAAATAAAGCAAGTAATTATAATATACCAATATTCAAAAATTATATATATATATATGATTAGAAATTTTGATGATAATTAGCAATTACATCCAGAAACGTAACTCCAATGTCTCATTTATTCACTGATGCAACCGTCAGAATATGCTAGAAAAATAAAAACGATCGCAAAAGAATCTAA